CTGGACACGAGATAAATTGGAAGTCAACAGAAATAAGAGCCCCATACAGTGACAAAACAAGGAAGTGAAAGATAAGGGAGGCCATTGACATCTTTGGGTAGAAAAATTTAATGAACAGGAGATTGGAGCAACGTAGATTTAGTGGTAACTTTGCCTACTGCCTAAGCAAACTCTAGGAAAACAAGAATAGAGCCAGTCCAGCTTAAAGGAGACGCCTGGATCAAGGATCTACTGCTAAACGAAGGAAAATGGACCGCGATGAAGAACGTTAGCGACAGAGGTTTTCGGCAATCAAGCGAAGACGTAGTCAGTGAGTGATGTCCGTTTCAAATAGACGAGTACAATTTTGGGGTCTGGCAAGCAGGGAGCTGGGCAGACGGATAAGCAAACTGTCATGGAAAGTCGGCGTTATGGCCAAGATGTACTAGAAATCCACTTGAGATGCCGCATGCGACCAGAGATAGGCGCCCACAGTTTGCTCAGATAACATGGGTTTAATCAAGAAGAGGACTCGTCAAGGTAAGGCCTGATATCTGCAAGCATGGCAATCAGAGCTTAGGCGCTCTGCTCAGTGAAGCGACAGCGTAGGTGCTTCTAGGGCCTTGAGAAATAGCGCCTGGAGTGAAATGCACACTGGGACTGGAACCGAGTGAAATCGGTCAGCCAGAAAGATAAGGAACGGATCTACGAGACAATGAGGGGATCCGGATTGCATCCCGAGTCGGATTAGCCGTTCGAAAGAGAGGGGTCGGGTTAAATATCAAGTGTGATGTGGCCACACATTTTGGCGAGTGAAATGTAAACAAGTGAGAAGTTATGATAGGGTGGCAGTGGGATAAGAATGTAAAGAGTAGATAGATAGGCAATGACAGAAAGAGGAGTGATAGTGTAACCGTTTTCGGAAGAACGGTTGTCGAGGCAAGTTCGTAGCTAGGTGAGGAGAATGGCAAAACTCACTGATGATGCCGACTACGATGCTGGCGAAACGTTTGATAAGGTACCAAGTTCACTGTCTGATGCTGGGAATCAAGACAACTACAATGGCAGACGACTTCGGACTAGCGGCGTTCTACTAAGTCGCCCTGACAACAAGACCAAGTTGCGACAACGACGTCAACCCACTTCTATAAGTCGGTTTTGCCTTAGCAGCCAACTGTATCCTTGCCGATTGGAACAGATCATCATTAGAGACGAGTTATCTTATGGTAAAAGGAGTTGATAAAGGCTGTATCTGCACTGAACCTACTAGATATGAACTATTTAAGTGAATAGAAGTGACTTCTTGCCAAAGACGAAATATGGCTTGTAATCGCACATCGCGACATAGTTTGCCAAACTTTAAAACAATGAGTGCTGTGGACAAAGACATAATTATTATGCTCTATATAAGTTCGGATTCAATTCCAATAAGAAAGAACATATCAATATAGATTGCGTAATGTAACAGCATGAAGTGTATCCAGAAAATTTTTTTTACTTTGACAAACCAGCTATAGAACTCTAGCATGTTTAAGCCTTAATCAAACTAATCCATGCCCCTGATGAGAAGATTTACAGTAAGACATGAATTAGCCCAATCATAGTGATCATTTTGTTATGCAATTTTTTTATACGTCTTATACGAAGCCTGGTAAAAATCTTATCGATAAGCATAGGATCATTCCTTTCGACCATCAATCGAAAGATTTTATTGTAGCAAAGGTAAGTATACGATCATAGGTTACTTCTCCCAACGTGGACACTTTAAGCATTCGTTGGGGCCCTTTGTCCGGCTTAATTAATAGCCACTGGTGTGAAATTGTATCGCTTTCTTATTTCATCTCATTAACAGTGAAGAGCATACGACTCTGGTCCTTCAAGTTGACATTCTTATATAATCCTAAGGCAGTAGGAGGTTCATGTGTGTATTGGATGGTATGCCCCGTGGTCAAGCATGCCACTAGGCACTGGCATAGGCATGGACATTAGT